GGTGAAGAACCTCCTTTTATCTGCCCTGAATCTTCCACCATTTATTTTCATGGAATGACTCTTGGTTCTAGTTTCATGGAGGAAGAGCATCCTTGTACATATTGTTCATAAAATGCATTACAGTGGTACCTCGGCTCACTAACACCTTGGTTCACGACCAAATCGGGTTGCGAACAAAAATGTCATGAAAATTTTGATGTGGATCGCAAACTTCACATTGGGTGGTGACCAAGATTGCAGCCATCTCCCCCACCCTCCAAGTGGGGAGATGGCCATGATCGCAGTTGCATTCGTGCAGGGAAGATGTGCGTGATCACGGACGTGCTCCTACAGGAAAGATGGGTGCAATCTCAGCCATCTCTCCCCCCAACCAGCACGATCACGGCCATCTCCTCACCCCCTTGAGTGTGGGGATGGCCGTGATCGTGCTTGGGGCAGGGGGGGGAGATGGCCGAGATCACTACCATCTCTCCATCCCCCAGTGCGCCCGCAATCGCGCCCAGCTGTCCCCCACCCCCAGCAAGCTGGGATGATGGGCATGTGCAAGAATGACAGGCACAATCTCGGTCGTGCTGGGGGGGGGGGAGATGGCCACGCTCGTGCTCGGGGTGAGGGGGGGAGATGGCTGCGATCTTTGTTGTTCTTTGTCACTTTGCTTCACTTTTTTCTAATTTAAAAACATGATTACAGAACAGATTAACCTTATTTACATTGATCCTTATGGGGAAATTTGACTTGGCTCATGACCAATTTGGGTCACAACCAGAGTCCTGGAACGGATTAAGGTTGTGAGCCAAGGGACCACTGTATTTTGTAGACCTCTCTCAGCTTCCCCACTCTGACTTCCTTTTTTCTAAGTTAAGAAGTTACAAATACAAACTTCCCTTATTTATTTATGTTTTAAAAAATTATGCCGTCCCTTATGCCTTGGCATCTTGGGACGGCTCACAATCCATAAAATTGAAATACAATAAAATCACATGTCTAAATAACATAATTAAATAATAATTTACATAAAGGACAACATCAAAGCGACTGTTTGATAAAGGAATTGCTCCAGCCCTTTGATCATCTCGGCTGTTCCTTTCCCCACTTTTTCCAGTTCCTAAATATCCTTTTTTAGTTGTGGTGGCAAGACCTGCACACACTATCCTAAGTGTGGTCATACCATAGATTTGAATGATGGGAGTATGTTGTGGGCAGTTTTATTTTCAGTTCCCTTCCTAATGATGCCCAACACAGAATATGCTTTTTTCACAGCATCCTCACACAGGGTTGACCTTTCCACTGACCCATCCACCACAACCGCAAGATGCCTTTTGAACTCGGGTCCCATCACCCTATATTTGAAGGCGGGATTTTTGTCCCAGCAGGCAGCACTTTACACTGACTTACAGTGCGCAGCATTTGCCATTTGATGCCCAGTGTGGTGCAGTGGCTAAGAGAGCAGGACTGGGACTCAGTCTTGGGTTCGAGTCCCTGTTCAGCCATGGAACCAACAGGGTGACTCTGGGCCATTCACAGACTTTCAGCCCAACCTACCTCACAAGGTTGTTGTGGGGATAAGATTGAGGAGGAAAATGATGTAAGCCACCTTTTTTATTTTTTTAAATACAGAAAAAAAATTAAAACAGAAATACAAACAACTGAAATACAAATATGTACCATCCAAAATATTGATAATATAACACATAAAACCCAACTAATGAGTAAAGAAGTAAATAACACTGTGCCTCCACCACCCAGGAGACCAGTAATACCTCCATTTCATTTCATGTATTGTAACAATATATAATATACTACAGTTATGCCAATATCCCCTCCAAAAATTCATATAATCTTGATTAGCCTTACAACCTTTACCTTCTATCAATACTGCTTTTACAAAATCTCCCCAAATTTCATTATATTTATTTGCTTTTGCTGACCCTTTTTAATTTTTATTTCTGTTGTCGGTTTATCATTAACTACCATATTCCATATTTCATTATACCATTCATGCCTTTGCATAACCCAATTCTGTTTCCAATATTTAACTAGCACTAACCTGGCTGCCATTATCAAGCTGAAGATCAATTCTTTCTTAACTTCATTTATATCTTGTTTTTCAATCAACAGCAATAACATAATTTTTGGTGACATTTCTAAATTTATATCTAAAATTTCTCTAATTTTGTTTAACACCATCTTTTGTATATTATCATAATCCCACCATATATGTTTGTAAGTTCCAATCCCTTTCCCACATCTCTAACATATATTAGAATATTTATCATCAATTTGATTTAACTTATCTGGTATTAAGTACCATCTCCATACCATCTCTCCACCTTGCATTCTTAAATAAGAAAAAGGTGGGCGATAAATCTAATAAATAAAATTTTATGCTCTTTCTCCCATATTTAATGCTATTTTGATGCCCATTTCCCAGTTTGCAAAGATCCTTTTGAAGGACATTACAATCCCTTTTTGTTTTAACCACTTTAAATAATTTGATGTCATCAGCAAACTTGGCCACTTCACTGATCATTCCTAATTCCATATCATTTATGAACAGGTGAAAAAGTATTAGACCTAACATGGTTGCAGGGCCTGTTACATCCCTCTGTTGGGAGAATTCATCATTTATTTCTACACACTGCTCTCTGCTCTTCAACGAGTTCCTGATCCATAAGATGACCTCTCCTCTTATTCCATGACAGCTAAATTTTCTTTGGAGCCTTTCTCAAAAGCCTTATTGGAAGACCAATTTTTTTAAAAAAATGTCTACCAGAACAGACTACCACATGCTTATCCACAGTCTTAAAGAATTGTAAACAGTTAGACAGGACTTATCTTCGTGGAAGCCATGTTGATTTTTCTCAGCAGGGCTTGCCCTTCTATATCTTTACTAATCATGTATTTAATAATGCTTTCAACCAATTTACCTGTGACAGGCATTAAGCCAACTGATGTCTTCCTCCCTAGATCCCCCTAGAACCCTTTTCAAAAAAATTGTCACATTGGCCACTCTTCAGTCACCTAGAACAGAGGCTAGTCTTGGGGAGATGCTACATTTTATCAGAAAGTCAACAGTTTTGTATTTGAATTCTTAAGGATGAGTTCCATCTGGACTTGGTCATTTATTTCCAATATGTCAATAAGGTTAAGAACTTCATCTCTTGTCCCTTCAGTTCTTCAGATTCCCTTTTTTGAAAACATGAATTCCAACACAGGTGTCTGTCCTCCATTCTCTTCAGTAAAAGCAGATTAAAAAAAAATATGTTGTTGGTCTTGGTTTTAGCGATAAGCTCCTCAGAATGCTTTTTCTGCATCTCTTATTCTCTGTTTAGATCTCCTTTAAGCAACTTTGTGATCCTTTCATTTTTGTCCTTTGGATAAGACTTCCTTTTTCTGAGGGAAGTCCTTTTTCTGATAGTTTCCTTGAACTTTCTCTTAACCATGCTGGTGACCTCTTGAATCTAGTGCTATCTTCCCTAAACTGTGGTATACATTCTAGCCTAGCTTCTATTATTGTGGTTTTGAGTAACCTCCAAGCATTTTGAAAGGATTTAACCTCTTGATCGCCCCTTTAACTTCCTTTTTACTACTTCCATTATTGTACAGAAGTTTCCTCTTTTTGAAGTCAAATGTGACCGTTGTTGGACTTCCTTGTCAATTTTCCACTGTTAGCACTATGGTCACCATTTCCAGTTGGTTTAACTTTTACATCTCATACTAGTTCCTTGGTGATGCCATTTAGGATTAAATCCAAGATCATCTCCTCTATGGTTGGTTTCTAGGCACAGTCACCCAGCAGTCACCCAGGGCATCTAGACATTTAATGACTGTGACTGGAACATTCGTTTATTCAGTCAACATGAGAGCAATAGCAGTCATCCATTATTGAAACACTTCCTTGGTTGGAGGCCTCCCTGATTTCATTATCCATCCCAAGATCACCCTGAGAGCTCTGGTCTGAGGGATGGTAGCATGCTCCAAGTAGTAAATTAGTCTTTGAGCCTGGTATTGTCATGCTCATCACTTCTGAACTATGTCCTCTGGATATATGGAGCAAAACCTCTTCCAATTTACCCTTCCAGGTCCTTCCTAGAGAGTTTATATGTGGAGGTGATGATAGTAGTGATTCTCTCCATTCCACCATGTTTCTATAGTGCCAACCATATCTAGGTATTGTGAGAATGTAACCCAATCATCATCATCATCATCATCATCATCATCTACCTGTCTCTTAACCTAACCTCATAAGAACTGGGCATCAGGACTGGCCTTTATGCTTCTTTTCATGTAGAAAACACACCTCTGTTTTTGGTGCAGGTCTACTTTCGTATTGGAGGTCAAATCTGATTTTGAAATCTTAAATCTGCTTTATTTAGTAGTCAGTGCCTTTGGCACCAGTGGAGGTGGAGTAATTACATTTTCTAGTTCCTCTTTCCGGGCAATGGGTTTTATCTGTACACTGGTGAAATCAGCCTGCCCTCCCTTTCCGTCCTGCAACAATAAATGCCACATTGATTAAGAAAAGAGTGTCTTGTTTTACACTGCTGCATCTCTGCACCAGCTTTCTCACCGAGGCAGGAGCATTTCCCTTTTAAGAGCTTGCAAAACTGGAAGGGTATGAGGCAGAGAAGGGAAATCTAGGCCATTGCCCCTTTTAAACTGCAATTCTGCCTGCCTGTCTCCCTTTAATCTGCACCCAAAGCCCCAGGATCAGAGGCTGACGTCATCCTGCTCCTGAGCCTCCCTCTCTGATTGGCTGGGGGTGACGTCAGGTGCTTTTTTTCATGGCATGACCTCATCCTCAGTTCATTTTTAGTTCTAAAGTGCAACCTTCTGTCTTCCTGGATCCCTTCAGCCCTGTTAATGCTTATCTGTGCTAACCTCCCCCACCCCGCGCCCCTTATGGAGAGATATGCCTGCCCTTAGTTGCAGGGCTGGCACTATGAGTACATTTCAGTGTGGCTGCGTGTGCGTGTTTGCAGAGGGCTAGAACTTGCATCATCAGCGCCTGCCCCAGCAATTTCAGAGCATTTCCCATCTGATCCTCTCGTAATTGTGGTTAATCATCTTGGCGAATGTGCAGAAATTTGCAATCAGCTGGAGCATTGCACAGGCTTTGATCCCGGGCTGTAGAGCAAGTGCCAGGACGGTAAGTGCTCCAAAATGTTAAGGAATGACTCGAGTGGGTGGTGATGATGGTGGTGGACTAAGCTTCCAAACGTTGCTGAAGAAACCTGCAGAGTGGTGCAGTACGGTAGTTAATATAAAAATTGGAAACCGTGCATGGAAATTAAAACGTGCATGGGATTTTAGCAGGCTCACTGCACCTTCCACATTAGGATACAAACGCCGCATGCTGCATTCAGCATAAACAGCGTACATATGGAATCATGTATGTGATGCCACCGCAGCTTTTTCACCTGTGACTGTGTATAAATTCGGTGCATCATAATTTATCGGGAGTTCGCTAGGGCGGGGGAAAAGACTTCTTTCTGATAGCAGAGTTTACATTAGAGGGTTTTGTCTTCGTATTTTTGCATAATTCCTGCAGAACAGAGTACGAGCAACTCTTCCGTGCATAGCGAAATCCGCAGCAGCGAGAGCTTTGGTGCAGTAGGGAGAGGGCTGCAACCAGAGAATCGCTTATTTATGACGTGTATTTAACTAACAGGAGGATTAAAAACAAGGGTGGGAAAGTCCCATGGCAATGAGGGTCAGTAAAATAGCAGGACACCCTGCAAAACGAAGGGAAGTATTTGTATTTGTGCGTGCGCGCCTGCGAATGGGATGGCGTGTGTGAGGTATCCCCCCCCCCCATCCCGTTGTTGTTAAGAGGTTGTCGTTATGCCACGAGGCTTTTAGGGGCAAGATCGGAGGGGGAGAAACTTCAAGGTTCTCTTTTGGATGTGGAAAATTTAGTGGGCTTCCTTCCTTTCTTAATTTTTTTCCCCGGGAGAGAAGGGGTAGCGATCTCAAGCTCTCCCAGTTTTATTTGTAAGGCTGGTGTTAACAGCCCTGTGGCTTCCTGGTGCGGAAAGAGTTAGGTTTACCGCCCGGTGCTTTCGACAATATAGGAAAATCTAGGCAAGAAGCGTCTGCTGGATTTTCACCTTGGCTAGGGGCCTCTAGAGAGCAGCTAAAAATAAACAGAGTGAATCTAAACATGCTAAGACCATTTCAACCACACGGCATTTGAACGTGAGCTCCTGCCAACAACCGTGTTTGTACTGTGATTCAGCATTTGACGGCTTAACCGCCCCCCCCCCCCCCCCACACATATGCAATAGGAGGGGATAAGACAACTCACCTGTATCGGTAGCAAAAGGATCGCTCATCCCCACCTAGAACCTGCAGCTCATTTAAATCTAGGGCTGTAGTGGCAGCCATGGAGAAATAAGCATTTTTGAAAGATACGAATATTTGTATAGGTATGCCTAAGGTAGAGGATATACTGGCATTTTTCAGGGGCCTTTGGTCAGAAGGTGCAGGGATGTTCTATATCATGATAATAGCAGTTGAAAAGTCCCCAAGCCAGGCTTGGTGGTTATTAGGCCTGCTTCTGCAGTGTTGTGCCCTCTGTGGTTTTTGACTACAACAGGTTTTGACTACAACCCTTAACCAGGCTGGTGGGAGGTACAGTTCAAAACATCTGAAGGGCATGAAAGAAAGCTGTTCTAGGCAAGTATAGATTATATTAACAACTCTTCTCAACTTATCTGAAATCTAAACACTTCTCTTTATATCTCCATTATAGAAGTGTTTCCGGTGTACCACAAAGTTTGTTTTAGCTTATTTCTGGGCATCTGTGCAATGCTATTGCCAGTTTTAGAAAGACTTTTAAGTGAAAGCCCCTGCTTTTTCCAGTATTACAGTAAATTACTTTCATTATTAATTTGGTATTGCTTTAGCAAAAATGCAGCCGATCTTTGTTGGCCAAAATGGACAAGTATAGGTGATGAGGGGGAAGTCACAAACTGAGACACTGCAATCCAGAACTTGACTGTGGGCTGTGGTGTTTGCACCATTTATTTTGAGTGTGTGTGTGTGAGAGAGAATATGAACATGAACAGGTTTGTGTGAAACACCAGGCTCATCCAGGATTGTTTATTCACAATGAGGTGCTCTGTGTGCAGGTGATATTTCAACAATGCACCTCCTATTCAGGGTTGTACAGACCTGGTTACTGAGGGGTATGCAAGGGCTTAAGAACCCTCACAGGACCCTCTGTGTATTGAATGGTTGGATGAGAGCTGTTTAGACTTTGGTGACTTTGAGACTTTGGTTCTCATCACTTGGCAATCCTTGAGTAGGAGCTGCATGTAGAAAATATTGCCTACATGCACTGTAGCTTGTCGTGAGTTAAACAACCCACGGTGAAGTGCAGCATGCCCTGCAAACTGGCCCATTTTGAAAAGAGTGTTAGTTTCATCAGACCTGGTGCTAGTTGCATGCTGCTAACCTTGAGAACTTATATGTGACACTAATATACATATGGCTGCATTTTCCCCCAACCTGGACCTTGTTCCAGTTTTATTCCTTTCATTGATTTGGAAGAGGTAAAAATGGATCATCCTTCTCTCAGGTTGCTAGGCTCCAGTGTAGAGATTAGACCTGCCTCTTTAGCTCTAGATCAGTCCCATAGTTGCAAAAGGATGCAGCCACTCCTTCTCCCACTCTTCTTTCCTCCCTAGGCCCTTTGTTTACATTCTCATTCTACCTCATCTGCTGAGAGAAAAGCAAGATAACTGGTGGATGAAGCAGGAATTTGGGAATGTTTTATCAAACAACCAGAGAAAGCAAACTGTGGATTGGGAAAATCCCCAACTACACCTTCCTACATGGCTGTAGGACTGTTAGGCATTCTCTTGACTAGGATCTTGGCTGGCCAGTCAAGACCTCAGCATGCCACACGACAAGAACATGTTCTTAAGGGTATACCATAAGAAGAAGAAATCCTGAAAGCCTAGAGTCAGTATGACTGAGATGTGAGGGAATACCATCCTAGTCTTAAAAAGGGTGACCATCTATTTGTATGGGTGCATCGAATTTGTTTCTGCAAGCCATATGGAGCTGCCACATTCCCTGTGCTTACTATCCAAATGCCTACCTGCAACTGGTGGAGGTGAGAGAAGGCTTGAGCACCATTGGAGCAACTTTCTTGGCTGGTAGATAGCCCTTCCTGGAGGTACAATTTTCAGCACTTCCAGTTTGGTGCTCCAGTCAAACATCCTGCAGGTCACTGGGGAAAGTCATGCACAGAAGCTACCTAATAAACATGTGTTTCACTCCAAATAGGGAGTGTCATGCTGCTTTACAAAACAAAAAACAAACTAAAAGGAGGTGGTTCATTGTGTTTGCAACCCATCCAGCAGGATGGATTGGAGAAATGTGAAAACGAGAGAGTTTTGCTTGATAGTGGAGTGGATAGAACACTTTTTCCCACCCTGGTAATTTCTTGGAATGGAATGGCAGGTCTCAATATTCCCAACCACCAGATGGGATGATGGGGAGTTGTAGCCAAGCCTATTAAGAGAGCACCAGGTTGGGGAAAGCTGGAATAGAGGAATGAAGCATTACACATTACATTCACATTTCTGTGAAAGAGTTGTGTGCAGGTGGTCTGTTTCTTTAAGTGTCATTCACTATTGCACAGAAATACCACCCAACATAGAATGATGCTTGAAAAAAGTGCCTTGAATTGGTAATGGTTTATACTGAGAGCAGAAGGGAATGAACAGAATATGGTCCTTTGGACTGAACCTTTGTACAGCTATCCCTGTCCTGGACTTTTAATTTTACATGCTGAAATCTATACAAGCTTTGGGGATTCCATAAAAGCAGCAGCTGTGTTCATCTGCTGTAGCAAATAAGATAAAAAACAGTCATGTGCTACTTAAAGTCTAATTTATTTTAGCATTTAATTTCAAGGGCCCATTTAAGTGGATAGAGAAGATGTGTGATATGTCAACAAGAGCAACACAACAGTTATTATTTATAAATGTGGTTCTATCTAGTTTATATTCAGATTAGTGCGTATTGATTTGCAGTGCCCTGCAAAAATTCTACTGCAGTGGGCATACAAAGGCTTTGCACTTTGCAGCTAACATGCAAATCCATACTTGCACTAGTTAGCACTGGTCAGAAACTGACCCATTACGGTGCTTTGTGTCCTAATGATTGGGAGTTAAAACACCTGGACAAACTCACACAAATTATTCAAGCCTTATATTTGCCCTTGCTATTTTACCCAATTCAGAGTTTGCTGAAAATGCTGATGCCATCATATGCCTATTTGGAGTAGGATAACATAATAAGAAGCCAACATGTCTCTGTGGTTCATTGAGACTTGTTTCTATGGATCCGAGTGCCATTGAGCAGAATGAGGAGTATCTACAGCAAGTATCTACCTCATCAGAGTGTTGGGTTTAAGACATTTTAATGTAAAAAAGCAAACCGCCCTTGAGCTTGTTCATACAGAGGCAAGACCAAAATGCTGGGGCATGCTGGGAGTTGAAGGCCTTTTCTGTCAGCGTGCTTGGACAGTCAAACATTATATACAATATGTGTGCCATATATTAATACAGATTTGATTTCTAAGTGCAGGAAGTTCAGGTTTGTGATGGAGCAAATGCAGCCACATGACAATAAGTTGTGTGGTACAAGTACATATCTACTATCATTATTCATTTCTTTAAATCTGAAGGAATTAGAAGCGTTAACAGTTTATTTTGTAGTTGAACAATTGAATCTCTATGTGGCATTTATGGTGATTTAACTGTTGGTAATTTACTAAATCCCTTAGAATATTAGTGAAAATGGAAGGCAAGCACGCCTGAAGAAAGCAAATGCTTGTAAAAGGTAGACAGCCTTTGGCAGTTTTCCTATAGACGCAAAGTGGTTTCTTATGGCAGTCTTAATGGACGGTTGATGTAATAAAGTACCAGAGGCTTGCATCTTTCCTGTTAAAGCTGAATTGAGAAACTGAGGAGAAAATACAGTGAATCAAGTGCTCTGTGTAGCAAAAGTATAGACTGGTATTTTGAGACTCTAAGGACACATTCCTGCAACTGCTAGGTGGGGAATGCTGGGAAGTATAGGATTTTTTCTTGTCTAAACAAGAAAAAATAATATGGCTGTAACTGTTGTGAA